TCCATTTTTTACTTTCTAGTAATTGGCGTTTTCGCACAGTATTTCGAATGGCATCCACGCCAAGTAGGCGAATGGTCAAAACGAAAAAAAGACTATGACAAAATCAATTTTTTTTTAATATTACGTACGATTGAAAAGAAAACAATGATAACATGGCATGACACAAATGACAAATATGACAACATCTCCTATTGATGTATGGTGTGGTATCATAGATGGGCATATTTTGGGTCCGATATTTATAGAGCAAAAGTTTAGAGCATCAAACAGAACAATGTATAGAAAATTTACCCATAAATATATAAGCGCTGATTATATGACAGCAATGTTGTACAAGTTAAAAACGACGGAACTAATGATTGGCCAGCCAACAACCCCGACATAACTTTAATCGATTTTTTCTTTTGGGAACATAAAAAATCACGTGCACAGAACTCGAAGACATCATACAATTAGAGCGTATGAGAAATGTGTTCAGGAAAATCGTGGTCACATACAGCAGTATTTAAAATAGTTGAAGAATTTTTTACTTTAGTGTGTCTTGGCAGTTTTTGTTCTCCTTTAATTTGGAAATAATTATTGTTGCAGTCAGTGCACTCTTTGAAATTATGTAAAAAATTTCCTATTTTTGCCAATTTGTCAAAAACGATTTAACTAAAATAACACCTACAGGGTTTCCATTTAAAAAAATATGATGTAGGCTTGTATGTCAGAAAATTGATAGTATTTTGTTTTATAAGTCACTTGGAAAAAAAACTTGGCTACTAACCCTACATTTTGTTTTTTGTTTACCTTGATATCTCTAAAAACAAAAAATTTACAGCCCATTAAAATGTTATCAAGGTAAATTGAGTAAGGTACTGAGTACTCTCAAATTTTTTATACGTTAAAAAAATGAAAGTACTTAAATTATACTTCTATTTACCCTTAAAGTTTAACTGATAATATAAGTAGGTATACCTATTTGGCCGGCGTAATCGTTAAAAGCTTTTAACATTCCTGGTCGCTATTATACTGGACAAGAGCAATTGTTCCCCAGCATCCGTTTTTGCTGCATTTCGAAACCAGCAAAGGCGCAACGCACAACGCAAAGATTTATGTTGAGGTTTTAATTAGTAGTCAACGAACTTTGGTTTCTCTATTAAGCTTACCAGTGAGGCGATAACAAAAGTGGTCGGCTATCGGGCCGAGAATACGAATTAATTTGATCGAACGCGGATAACGTGTAACGTAATACTGTATACGCACACCGTCGGCTCCTCCGTTATTCACAATTCAGATTTTTTGCCCCCCAATATGCTTTACGCGATTGTTGCCCCCAAAAATGGTATTATTTTTCCATATATTGAGGAAATTCGATTTTTAGCCAAAGTTTAGTAAAAAAAATTTTTTCACAAAAAACAACAGTAATTAAATAAAAAAAAAAATAGCGATAAATTGTCACCTCAGAAAATCTTTTTTCAATCATGTGGTGGAAGGTGTCATTTGAAAACGTTAATTGTTTGTATTTTTGCCTTCGAATTTTAAAAAAAAAAAAACCTTTACTTAAGCAAAAGAAAAATATTCCATAATTGAAGAAATCAAAGAGTTAAAGTTATTAAATACAATTTTTATAAGCGTATAATTTTTATGTATTAGAGCGAAATGGGATAATTTAATGTCCTGTTAACGGAATGCCCATAAACGGCTAACGAATTGGTGAAAATGTCAATAAACTTTTCCTTTGTGCATCTGCCGCCTCTCATCGGATCTGATAATTAATGAGAACAACGGATAATCAATTAATTATATCTAGAGATGTCCGTATTTAAAACAACGTTAAAATTAATATTTAAATCACCATTTTTTTTTCTAATTTCAGTCAAGATTAAAAATAAAATTTCTTAGTAACACCTAACTTTTATACATTGTTTTTCCTTGTTACCTTTTTATATTGGAGCGTATCCAAATAGAGTGCTTTTTTTACATAGCTAGGATCCAAGATAAATTAAATACATAAACCATAAATTCAACCTGTTTCTTTTGTATATTTGTTAAAATAGACATGATTTTGTTGGTCGGTGTTGAAGGTTTTTCTTTTTGTCCCAGTATGCGATAAACTCGAGTTTAAAAACTTTGTTTTGAACGGAATGAATGAAATTTTGGACTTTTCTATTAATAATTAATAATAATGCTTATAATTTAAAAACTAAATTATTTAATTAAATCCTAATATCTTATTGACTTAATTGGATTCCCCACAAAGAGGAGTATCAATTTCGTGCGGTAAATTACGAGACGTGTGTCAGAAATTATTGCAGATCTTACGAATACTTTTTTCTAAAACAACGGTAACTAATTGGCTTTACTTTGTACGAAATCTTTACTCACGCTATAATTATTGAGACAATTATGTTGATATGTAATGAAAACATGGTGGTGGAGATTTCTCGCATGGAAGGTATGATATTTCGAATGAGTTAAATAAGTTAAGTTCAACTAGTATTATTATTATGAATGGACCATTTAAATTATAATAACCACAAGGAAAAATACGAGTTTGTTCGTCGGCAATATGGCTGATAGTAGGACAGTGAAGTAATCCCTTAATTTTTTTTTAAACATTTTGAAGTTAAATTTGATATTTTCGAAATTTTGACCGGAAGATAGTTAAAAATATATTGGAATTAAGAACAACCTAGAGGCAATCAACCCTAAGTGGAAGGACTTAAAAATAGAAAAATTTGAAACTACACGTATTTTAATGAACTTTCAAGTTTGTCGTCGTATGACAACTCTGACGTTCACTAGAAAAATCCATCGATTTGTTATAACACGTTATCGGTCGTGTTTATTCATTCGCAACGTCTGTATAAATACAAAATAACTTGGCTCTTTTATCGGCTCGTTATCACTTCCCATTGGTAAAAACCTCGCTAATGGGATTATATTTCCTGTGCAAATATGCATAGCCTAGCGACAAATCATTGTTTACCGCAAAAACAAAGGAACAGTATGTTGTCGCGATTGAGTTTAGCACAATTGCACACGAAAATGGAAACAAATCATTGTGATAACAAAACGCAATGCAATTTTTTAGATTTAACATTATTGCAACTAGAGCTTGTTTAAACTTGAAGAAAGGATTGTATCCACCTCATATGGGACACGTAGTATGTACACGGTGGGCGAGTATCGATATTATTTGATGGTTTTGAGCCAAATATATTGGAAAATCGAGTAGACACGTTCTAGGCTTGATTTTCAAAAAAAAAAAAAAAGATCTGCGTCAATTTGGTTTTGTCAACTATCCGAATTAACTGCATAAATGCCTTCATATATTTTTATTTTATAAAAATATGTATTATAAAAATTCTGTATAATCTTTTTATCTCTAAAAATTTCGGATTTTTTGTAATTTGTAATTACCATCAGTTTTTGAGATATAAGATATAATTGGTATTTTTCTTAAGGGGTATGCCATTTTATTTTACATACTTTTATACTTTATGAAATTTCCTTTAAAATGTACGCATCACAAATTATTGAGATATTTCAAGTTTTAAAAAATAATCGTAGAATTCAGCATAAAAAATACCAATAAATTCGAAATTTATAGAAACAAAAAAGTTATGACTTTTCCAAAAAAGCATAATTTCCAGAACCACCCCGTCGTTGAATTGTTCCCAAAAATTAAGCCGACAATATCTATACTTCCATTTTTCGATATACGTATATGCTAGATACATTCATATGTTAGATACCAACATAAAAATCACATTGGAATTGATCCACCCTGTACCCGCTTATACATATTATATATTCTCCTTTTTTATAATTTTATCTTCGATTTGTTTTTGTAAAAAGTATTTCGCATAAACTCATACTAGCGTAGGACAAACATGTTTGGAATACCCAGTTGGTCCAGTGAATAATTTAATTTAAATACTATTAATAGGTAGGTGCAGTGTGTACCACAGACAGAAAAACGCTAAAACGTTCGAAATAAATATCATACAACACACACCGGGTGGTTGGTTGAAAAAGAATTGCATGCCTCCAATTTTTCGCATGAACTTTGCGATCGGATTCAGCGAATCGCCGTCGAATACCAAACCACAATCTGTCGGGAATACTAAATATATTTGTTTTGTTTTCGCATACAAACGGAAAATATTACGTAACTTTTAATGGAGAAAGTTCCGCGGGGTCATATACAATCGTCAAACTTTATCGTCAAGGCGCTTTTTTCTTTTCCCTGTGCCTGTTTAAAAACCAGCCCCAAGGATTGATTAAAACTTTGGATGTCAAATTACTTCTAGCAGGAAGTCGTTTGTAATGCGAAACCGAAAGTTTAAGCTCGAACCAGGGGAAGAAGACAAAAACAACCATTATGCTAATGGCAATCGGCCTAATTTCTGGTATGTAGTGCCATCGAGCAGTATAATTAAATACCATTAGATATTTAGGTATCTGGCGCATTCGCCATTTAAAAGCACCAGGAAATAATTACTTACCAGGTAGACATTTTGAAACAAAGAAACGGCGTGCCTCAAATCAAGAGGATTTTATACAGTGTTTCTGAGTAATTTTTATTGAATAATATAATAAAAATAGTATAATTAATGAAGTCCCTAAGGCGACATCGTATTTAAAGTTGCCTGTCCTGAACGAAAAAAAAATCGCGGCTGGCTTCGCCCGCGTTTTATGAAATAGACGCCATGTTTGCGCTTCCAGTGTAAAGAATTGTTTTTATATCTAATTTTGACGACCGCTTGGTGAATGTTTTACTGAGTATACAGCGCCTTGTTGGTTCCAGTGATTTCAGACTTCCACCTATTGAAATAGGTCTAAGGTAAGCAAGTTAATTCTTAGACGAGCGCTACCGCAATTTATTTTTGACTATTTAATAGTTCGCAATTAAATGAATTTTGAGTTTTAAATTAAGCTCTGAGTTACCTATATTTAATAACAAGGTAATTTTTGGTTGCATGCAAACTACATATTAAATAAAGACTTACCTTTCGAACATAAGAGACCTGGGGATGGTGTTTGACCGGCATAAGACACATCCACATCCTGTCGAATAGCTGTATACCATCGGTGGACGCCACGCCCATATACAAAAAGATACCAAATAAAACGGCCATTGGCATCATCCTCAGCAACGGCGACATAAATACCGACAAGCCCACCAAAATCGAGACCAAAAGCGAGCTGAGCCTTTGCTCCTTGATTTCGACCAGGTGCGGTTTTTCACCAGGCGCGTGTGTGCGCGACATCACCGTCAGTGCTGACGCGTGCGCAATCGAACGTACCGTGGCGGCGCACATCCACGTGAAACCAAAGAAACCGGCCAGGATGTTCGTTATGCAGATAATGACGATGTCCAGGTGGAAACCACCTCCCTTTTTCAATTTTCGCTCTTTCTTGTTCAAGATTAGTCTGCAAAAAGAGACATTCATTGTCAGTATCAAACGAGTTGATTTTATACTGGTATTAAAAAAATATTCTGGAAATTATGGCTTACTATAAATGACTACTATCAAAAAAATGGGCATTCTACATTCTTTAATAGTACCAGTTTGAGCTAAGATTTTGGTCAATTTTACAGGTAAGGGTTTCAATGTACAGTGCAAAAAATAGTGGTTATTGTGGTGAAATATTTTATTAAAATCCTGTTAACACCTGAGCATATTAAAGGGTATTTATGAGAGTTTAATTCCATCTTTTTTTGTAGCTATTAGATTTAACTAGATTAATGTTTAAGTTGGTTGTTAAATTTGCTTCTTGATTCACTTGAAAACTGTAATATTAATTAGGTAGGCATTTAATTTTTCAATGTGCAATAGAGCTTAACTTTTTCCAACAACAATAACAGCTCCAAACACAGCTGACCTTGATAACACCATCTTGAGATGGTATTTGAAAAATTATAGGCCAATATCAAAAATTGTGACAATGCAAATTTTACATGGTGCATACTCTATTAAAAATTTTATCCCAAAATGGCCTGGAAAGCCATTTTTTGATTTTTATATAACATAGCTTGACTATTTGGTAGGAGTAGGAGCAGACTTTTTTATATGTTTATTTTTACAATGCTCATTCATAACCTTATATATAACCACAGAACTGTCCCTTTTTTCCCTAAATTAAGCTTTCTTAAGTAGATCTTGGTTACATACTCGCAGATATGGGTTTCCATAAACAACAGTATATACACCAACATGGCAGGTACAATGGCTGCGAACATCACCCAAACTTGCAGCGGCTGTTCCATGCCGAAGGGCGGGATCAGCCAGCCGCGCATTTCCGGTTTTGAAGGCGAAAGCCCTTCCGGAACGCTCAATTTTTCCGTGTATATCTCCGGAACCATAAAATCTAGGAACACATTGCATATTATTGCTATTGGCACGCCAAAGTCGCCCAGAGCCCTTCTTGCCTGGAATAAGAAATAACACCATTTATTCATTGCCATAACAGGTTTGAGCGGCTTTACTCACCGATCTTCCTAAGAAGTGACTGTTCCTAAATATCTTCAAATAATATGCGATAGCAAACGTAAACAGTGTAAGGATAGTGCAAAACAAAGCTGTATTCGGCTGATTTATGATGTTTCCATCAGCGTCCTGGGTCGGTATTTTCACAACAGTCGTCAGCGGCACCAGACCGACCGGTAAATTAGTTCCTAGCTCTGTCGGGACGGTGTCGTTATCAGTGGCGTTTCTGTAGGTGGTCACTTCGTAATCGCAGTAAGTCGGCAGTATCGGGTGCTTCTCGTATACCGCGTAGATTTTTTGGATGCTCTCGATGATATAAAGCAAGACTATAAGGGCGGAGAAAATGTCTTCGGTGAATCGGGTGAAGAGTTTTACCAGCACGCTGCCTTCGAACGCTGACACCACGATGCCTATCACCGCGAGCCACAGTCCTATGTAGATCCTCGTAGGCAGGAACTCGATGCCTAAAAGTTAATATCATATTAAAAATCCGTTGTGAATAATACATCAGACAAAAATCGGTTTCATTGAACATGTTCAATAAGTAGAAGAAGCATTTTGAATAAGGATCTGTACCAGTATGCTTTGGAGATTTGTGCACATAGTAAATCCTGGTAAGGTAGTGACTTACCTTGTCCTTGACAAAACTGCAGCAGACTCTCGTCAAAAAGCAACAGCGGAGCCGTAGTTCCGATGATGATCAGCGGCTGACCCCCGAGCAAAGCGAATATTATCCCCGCGATACTGGTGAACAGCAAATTCTCCGAAATCCCGATCTGGTTGTCGGTTTTCAAACCACTGAGACCACCGAAAGCGATGCCTCCGGATACGGCGGCGAAGTACATGAAAATGGAAGCGGCCAGACACTGAGCATTAAACGCGTCGGTAAAATCACTCCTGTAGTATGGATAGCGGTTCTTCAAGTCGTTGATGAGACCGCCCCACGGCCTCTTGGTCCTCACCAACGGGTTGTGAGGCGGTTTCTTTCCTCCCCCGTCACCGTCACCGTCCGCTCCGGCCAGCAAGGGTTTCGTTATTCCCTGAGCCTCTTGCTCCTTCTTCAGGGCGTTTTCTTTACGACGCTTGATCGCGTCGCTTTTCGCCTTAATTTCCTCTATGGGGAGTAACGCCTGACGCTCCCAATCGCCAGGAGGCAGCACTATACTGTCGTCCAAGAACTCGTTGATAGCCGAAAGCAAATCTTTTCGACTCTCTGCTTTGTATGCGATATTGTGGAACTGCTGGTTTGCCATTAGGGTCGATATCGATCTGCCGATCTCGTGGTAATCGATCGCCGCCTTCTTCGGCCCCAAAAGGATGAAGATAAACCTGACGGGGATGTAAACTTCGATAAGAGATGGGATGATCACAGCTTCGGCTAGTCGGACGAAGGCTATAGCCGGTTGCTCGAGCGATTCCATCTCGCCCACCAGCACGCTAGCTCCTTGGGCTTCTGCGGGGATTCTTTTCAAGATGGCGTCGTTCCTGGCCCGTCTGACGTCCTCGGTACTAGCGGAATACGCATCGTCCTTGATGTCGACCACGGTGTGGTTCTCGTGAGCGGCGAGCAGTTTGTGTTCAGCGTCGCCGTTCTTTAGGTTAGCGTCAGGGTAGCTGACTTTGCGTTTTTCCGTGTCGCTGAGGCTCTAGAATGGGCGAAGTTTCGTTTAGGGGTCGGCAGTCATTATTAGCGGCGCAAGACAAGCTGTTGGTCGAAAACTGCAGTTTTGGGAAAACATTTTATAAGTCCGGAAAGTAGTACACAATATTTGGTACCTATTGGGATTAAAAATTAATATAATATAATTTATTATTCATGATCTAACGTCATTCTGTTATTTAGCAGTATTACAAATGTTCGCATTTTGCACAATTTATAGCCCAAAATACAATTATAATAATTATTATTATAAATTCTGCTTTACCAATCAATTCTAATTTTAAGAATCCAGTCTTGAAATCAAACTAACTTAAGAAAAAGTATAGCATCCTCTTCAAGTAATTTTATAAGACGAATACTTGAGTTTTAATTTCAGATCTTGGGTATGATCTCTTGGATTTAAATAGAATAAAGAAAAAGATAATTTCCTACGAATTTTTTCAGACAGGTTTCCTACTGATATACTATGGATACATAAATATTGGACACCTATCGGCTTTTTAGTTTACCAGAGACCGACTAAGGTTAAGAGTGTAATATTGAAAGCATTTCCGAGTATCGTGAACATTAAACTTACAAAAGCTCATTGTTAAAAATCTAACATTTATTATTCATTTATTTAATTTACGCTCGTTTTTTCCATCCGCAAATAATAATTATTGGCCAGGCTTATTTTTCACAACTCCTGAAAAGCAGAATTACATTTTTTGTTTCTTAATATTTTATAATAAGTATGAGTTTAAATCGGAAGTCAGATCATTGGAAACTTTTTGTTATTCTTTAAAATGGTTCATTAGTAAGTGTAATTAATAAAACTGGTCAACTGATCTATATTCTTTCATTTTTTAAATCTGGAAGGTCCCTCAACAGTCGTTTACTAAGATTTAGTTGCACCAGTGGAATTTATATTGAAACTGCAGTTTTCGGCAAACGACGGGGAAATTTTAAAAAGCACAATAGCAAAAGCTGGCTTCAAAACTGTTTTTTTTTTGCGTCCAAGAGAGCGAACAGATACACTAGTTGTCAAACATAACATCAGTAACAGCGTTAGTATAGGGAAAAGAGAGAAAACACTCTAAGCCGGTATCTACCGAAAAACTATAAATTATTTCATGCGACTGGGGTACACAAATAAATTCCAATGTAAAACGAGTTGTCCAAATAACCGGGAAGATGCTGCTCAAATTCGCAGGCTGCAAAGGAAATATTAAAATATCAATTACCTGACGACTTCTATTGATCGCTAGAGGGCGCGTTATACGATTTGGGATTACGCAATCCGTCGCTAATTGACCTTTGCACAATAATGCAATCGGAAAATCAGCTATTTTCACAATACCAGACCGTTCAGCGACTCCTAGCAAATAATATATAGAATCGAATTCTCGTAATTATACCCCCTTTGCAGCGTTTTGGATAAAAACTGCACCGCCTTGAACAGAGTTGCACCATAACTCAACCAGCAAAGGTAAATGGTAAACTCATAGAAATGATTTAACTTTTGGAATAATAAAAACTGTGGCAATCCAGGATACTAACTGGGAGGCCCTCTGCGCCACAGAATTAGCCTGATAGAAAAACTGACTAAGAAGGCATCTTTATATCATTAAGATAGTCAACGATAACATATGTCAGATGTGTTCAGCAGAGATCAAAACTCTTATTCATCTCTTTAACCACCGCGCAAAATTAGGAAGCAGACAATTAAGAGTACTAAGAGACGTACTAGACGAGCATAAAAGAAGTACCGTGCTCCTCTAGATTTGGTGAGTCGACGGTGCAGTCTTATCGCAAGTTTTAATTGTGTTTATACCGAGTGTCTAAATGAAGAGCGGACTAGCGTTCGTAACTCAGTTATATAATCAAATAATAACCTTTTACTTTTGTTATTTTTCTCCGATATTGTGAATATCGTGCGAGAAAAATCTATTTTTCGGGCTGCATGTTTAAGATCTCGTAAAACGATGGGATGCTTGCGTCATTTTGGGATATCGATTGCCCTCTCAGGCTTCCCCGACGAGTGGTATCGGCTTAATGGGAAGTTTATTGACTTTTTCCTGTTCTACCTCGATTAGTTTCGAGTATCGTTTTGTCGGATACAATCTCGTCGATCGTTTTGGGTTTCAAGTGGCTCATATACTTCTTGATTAGATCCTATGTGAATAAGTTAAGTTTTAACTGCTTCCACGATATTTTTTCTAGGCTTGACAAGATCAGTTTCCCAACGCAAAGGTAAAAGAGTATCCCGTCTTTCTCAAACTTATATCCAGGGATGTTGATGAGAGAAATTTGTTCACTTATTCTGGTGGAAATGTCATTTCTTGTTGCGATCTAGCGAAAATAGGCAACACCACGTCTAGGTGAGGTTGACGCAATACTATATTGTGATATAGCCTTAAGCTCTTAACAAAAAATAGAAAAGGGGTATTTGAAAAATAATATGGCGTGCAGACTACCTGAAAAGAAGCGATGAAAAAGATGAAGATCTGAAACAAACATGAAACAAAAATATCATTTATATCAAAAATATCATGTTTTCCCTTTATTACTTTGTCCAATTTTCGAAACACTCATTTCAATATCTTAAACAATCGCGCATAGTCCACTCTTCGCTAGTCCTTCGGTATAAAACGCATCAACAAATGGAAAATAACGATAACCGAATAAATAGTGAAGCGAGTTATCAAAACCAAATCGTCTATTCAACTATAGTAACGGTGCAAATCTTAAATACTGAGACACACGTTTGGGAAGCCGATGACCGAAAATGATCTGCCCTCTTTAACTGCATGCGGAAGGCAGAGGCGACCCTGAGCAGAGCACACAGAACAGCGAGCCATCATAGCGGCATCGTAGCCCATATTATGCTCCAACCACATCGACTGCAAGCAAGGTCGAAACAGACCTTAATCTTTTCTTGGTTGGTTAGCGCATCAGTAAGCTACCTACGTGTATTTTCACTATATCTATGGACTATTTGATTTATGTTGGTCCAATATTGCTTAATTTTGCGCTGCCCAGCACTCATTCAGAAAGTTCAGAAAGTTCTTGGATAGTTAGTAATCCTATGCTACAAAATGTCAGGGGACCATCCGTGTTTTCTATTTCACGACAGAAAAGATAGAAAAATATTTTAAAAACCTTTCTAAATAGTTCTCCCACAACACTTTGCACAATCCACAAATTAATATGAACTTGTAGAGTCCTAGTTCAAGGTCTCTTTCTTTGGGAGGTGACAATCGTGAAGGTGCTTTTGAAACTTAGTAGTAGTATAGTAGTGCTGCCGGTTAAAATTCACTTTTGGCGGGAACATTTGTAATGTCGCCAGTCTTTAAGAGTAAAATTAAAAACTAACTTTTAACACGCTCTATGGAGTGCTGTTGACATTTTGGTCTTTTGGTTCAATTAGAGGATGGCTTTATCTCAGTGAAATTTTAAGTCTTTCAACATCATCTAGTGCGTTATGAATTTAGACAATTAATTTCTTTTTCCATTTTTTTCCCAAATTGGACGTTATTATCCCTAACCTGTTTGAACGTTGACAGTTTTGCATTTTTTTTGTCATATTAAAGGAAAAAAATTGGCGGATTAGTTACGTTATGCGTTAACAATTAGACACCAAATAGCGCAAAAAAAAATTCTGGTAAATAAAAACTTCGTCGCCTTGGAATCTAATAGCCGGAAAATTGTCCGTGACGGAGTAATGGCGAAAAAGAAATTCTATTCCGGTAGATGGAAACTTAAAATTGCCGGAATGCCTTCGGAGAATACGTAATTTGTTACACCGTCGGCGTCGGCGGCAAACAATTCGCGAGAACATCAAACAAACCCTCAAACTTTCGTTTGTACAATGGAAAATTGCGGAGGTACATTATTCGAGAGCCAAGACGGGGAAAACGACGGAAGCTGGATCATTAATTTCCGTTGATATGGGCGAATTTCCCGTTATGACGTTTGCCGTATCGATTATCTGAGGGTTTGTTTGTTAAAATATACAAATAAGACCGACAGGTTCTTTCGGATCGTACCCGATAATCAAAATTTTGAATAGCAAGAACAGCAAAACAGCACCTCAAAATGACGTAAAGCGAATAGGAAATATTAAAGTCGATCTTGTAGTTCTTGATGTTTATCAGTCCCCAACGACGAATTTGGAACACCCGGTATAACCTTACAACACCCACCTGCAAAGACGTGTAGCTGTGTTTCTTCGGAAACCTAAAACCCCTCTCGTGATGCTCGTTGACGTGGCGATGCCTGACCAACAGTATCCTCATGATCCTCGCCTTGTCCTCTTCCCTGACGAGGTCTTCTTTGAACAGGTCCTCGGAAACTCTGTACGCTATAGCCGGCAAATCCTTCTCCTCCAAATCCAAAATCACCACGCCGTTCTCGAGGCATTTTCTCAAATTCAGCAACGAATGGAAACTCAACGAGGCGACGTGAGGTTTGCCCCACCTGTCGACGCCTTCCTCGACGTCTTCTTCATATTTTATCCACCTAGCGGTTTCTTTCCATTCCCTCTCGTTTTGTATCTCGGTGGTGATAAGCTCGCTGAGTTCGACGAAGATCTGGAAATCAACAATCGTCAACTTCCGGAATATAATGTTAGCCATTGCGTTACCGCGTGAGGACTGTGGTCGTATAACTTTTTAAAGTAAGGGTGTAGTTCTACCCCTTTGCCGATATGCATAAGCGATGCCTGACTAGGTCTCGACGTCTTGTGTCTCCTGAAACCTCTAGGATCGTCCGATCTGTGACTGTCCAGTTGGTCTTTGTCGGCGCCACGTAGCTCTTCGTCTTCGGGTTGAGTGGATACTCTCCTGGTTCTTTGGTGACCCGCACCATTATCCGCGCCGTCTCTGTTCGGGTAATGGTGGTGGCGCTTTTTAGCCATGCTTTCGACCGGCAGCGAATATTTCCTGTGTTGGTCATAGTGATGTTTTCTGTAAATAATAATAATAAATCATAGGTTTTGTTGGCTGACATAACCAAGACGCCAAGATAACGTAGGTCTCGCTATATATGGCATTAGTTTTTTAGTAAATAAACCTAAAAGTTAAGTTTGTTCGGGAATCATTTTGTTGAAAACCTAATATTGTGAACGCCAGAGTTTCGGTCGTTTGGGGAGGGTTTAAGTTTCAGAGGCCAAATCTAAGAGTGGATTCTGCCCATGTGTGTATCAATAGGCATAGGGGTCTCCAGGGGCATGGACTGACCTAGACTAAAATTGTCAAGCTGCAGACGCAGCCATGATTATGAATGCCTTCTGCACAACAAAAGAAGATTGACCAACCGGAGGCAAGACATCGCTGTTGACGGTCCCACTTGTGGGTTGGGATTGGAATCTATGGGGAGCACCAAACGATCGAAATATTAATGAGTGACGGATAGATAATCAGGCCGCCTTGAAAACATTAGAAACACTATATGGATGTGGATACCAGCCATGGCGGACCAGGGTGTAACGTGAAAGTCGATCTTCTAGCAAGGCGTAAAGCAGAGACGCCAACAATAGGTCGACAGCCTGTGTTTTCTATATCCAGATAATCGACAGGGAATACAATCAAAATCTGGATGGCAGAGGAAACAACTCGTTCATAATGGTTGTGATTACCGAGGTTGCTTCATTCGAAAACAGCGATTGGATAAGTTGCAAAGAAACACATAACCAACCTTAAAATACACACAAACGCCAAAATGGGGCACTGATAAAATAACAGTAAAAAAAATAATAAAATAAAAAAAAAATTAAGATCTTTAAAAAGTAATTCTTCACATAGTTTTTGTCGAATTCATGAAAAAATTGCTTTTTTCAGTTTCAGCAAAACTCAAAAGAAAAAAAACATGTAGTACGCGATACAGGATCGATATAAAATAATATTCTTTTCCCAAAATCGGTTTGTCCACTTTAGGACTTACTGTTCCCCCGTTAAAAAAGGCAGCTTAGCAGTCCATATTAAAAACCCATTGTGCGGAAATTTTCTTGCGGCTTTGCGAAAAAATTTAATCTCTGTTTATGACGTGTCGGAGTCTCACTTTTTAAAGAAGAAAATGGACTATTTATTAAAATTGGGACGCATTTTTAATTAACATTTGAAGACGGATGAAGTTCCATCGATTTTTTATATGAACCAATTTGTGTTAAACCAGGACTAATGTCGGCGGTATTTCATTTGATAACTTGAGAGAGCAAATAATGAACAGAGAAAATGAACAAATAAAATTTGCATGCATTCCGCTGAAATCTCCCTCACATGATATTAAATGCTTATTCAAGAGACTGACCCCGTTTCCCCAGGGAACATATTACTTTAGTTCCAACTATATGTCGAGTGTTTTAGGTACATTTTAATTATTAATTTAGTCTTAGTCCACAGCAGCGAATTCTATCTAAACTGGAATATCGATTCTCTGAAGCAAATTTTATTTAGAGGAAGACGGGTGGTAATGAGGATTTTCTTTTTTGTCATACACGCCACACATATTAAAATATGAGTAATAAGAGATTGTTGTATATTATTTCCCGATTTTTCTACATTTTTGGGGTTTTTGCGAATGAATCTCTAAAAGGTAAATTTTAATCGTTTAGATTTGTTTGGACTTAGTTGTTGCAATATATTTTTTCTACTCCCGCCTGTAAAATGCCTAATTACACACCGGTCTATAGTGCGGGAAGCGTCACTTTACCACTTCCGTTTCCCACGGATCTGTGCCACTTCGGACATTTCCGGGATTTTACCGCACGAGTTTGAGAGCAATCGGATGTTTTCGGAGATATTTCCCACGTTTTGAACTGTGACGTTTTTCAATTCTGATGGTAATGTCCCGCAAGCTACCCAAACACTAACGGTCGTAGAAAAAGTATAGTATGAAACACGTTAAAGTTTTTAAACGACGGGTCTCGTTTTTAAAAACACTTTTTATTGTTTTACAAGCAGAGCTACTAGCTTTACATTAACAACGCTTGCAAATAGTGCAATTTGATTTCGAAAATAATGGTTCTGTGCCGAATACGTATCGCGCACTACGTCCATTTTATCGTCGACAAAATCGTCCATCAAAGCAGTTAATTCGATTAACCGTGGAACGTTTTCGCACCACGTTTACTCTTATTGATAACTCGCATCTCCAGAGACGCCGTACGGTGCGTACAGAAGAAGCTATTGCTGCTGTAGAGCGTAGCATGGAGGAACACCCGCATGAGTCCTTCGCCATCGAACACAGGAATTGGATCTGTGTCCATCCACTTTATGGAAGATTTTGCGGAAGGATCTTGGTTTACGTGCTTACAAAATCCAACTCGTGCAAGAATTGAAGCCAACCGATCAAGTAAGGCGTAGATTCGTCGAATGGGCCCAAAACGAGATTGCCGTTGTTCCCGATTTTCATAAGCGAATTTTGTTTAGCGATGCGCACTTCTGGTTGAATGGCTACGTCAACAAACAAAACTGCCGCATTTGGACCGAAGCTAATCCTCAAGTGTATGTCGAAACACCGTTACATCCAGAAAAACCGACTGTTTGGTGCGCTTTATGGGCTGCTGGAATCATTCGTCCGTACTTACTGATGATGATGATGGCCAGAACGTTACAGTCAATGGTGATCGGTATAGAGCTATGATTACTAACTCTTTAATTCCTGAATTGAATAAACATGATGTCCAGGAGATGTGGTTTCAACAAGACGGCGCAACATGTCACACAGCTCGTGCCACAATCGATTTATTGAAAGACACGTTTGGTGACCGCCTAATTTCACGTTTTGGACCTGTGAATTGGCCTCCAAGATCTTGTGATTTAACACCGCTAGAATACTTTCTGTGAGGCTATGTAAAGTCATTGGTCTATGCGGATAAGCCACAAACGCTTGACCATTTGGAAGACAACATTCGCCGTGTTATTGCCGATATACGGCCACAAATGTTGCAAAAAGTCATCGAAAATTGGACGTCCAGATTGGACTACATCCGCGCCAGCCGGGGTGGTCATATGCCAGAAATCATATTTAAAATGTAATGCCACAAGATTATCATTCGGATAAATTAAATTCATGTCAATCGAATAATCCATAGTTGTTTTATTGCAACTTAAAGTTCTATACATCGAAAAAAAACACCCCTTATAATCACATCTTCACACACAATTTCACTCATTAGAGCACCGCCGTTATTTATTCCTTCTGTGTAACATTGTGTAACCTTTCACGCTAGCGTTATAATTTGAAAAATCTAAAATGTCCGACACCAGCTGATATTTACTGTAATACGCATGACCGTGAATAATCAAAATGAGTCTCTTGGCATACCATACGGGGTACAAGTGTACCCCACATTAATTTTTTTTGTTGACTTTTTTGATGCACGTCATAACTAAAATATACAGAAAATGAATCTGTAAATACTAAATGACAATAAATAAAATTGCGGAACCCTTGTGTAAAGTTTTTAAAAAGATATAATGTAAAAATTGTGTTAACACGGTAAGAAGAAGGTTAAAATGCGATTACGATTTTCAGCTGCGAATTTAAAAGATTGATTATTAAAAAAACACTCGAATGAAATTTTACTTTAAAAAACATCTTCTTTTTTGGTATAATGACTAGGTGGTTTAGAAAGGTCAGTCGACAATCGCTTATTGACTCTTCGTGTCACTTCACACGCGTTCACGCTAAATTTCAGATTTATTCAGGAAGGAACGTGCGTTAGGTCAGTAATCAATGCCGATTTAGTGCTGTAAATGGTTTAAATAAAGTGCGGACACGTGGTGTGCCAAATACGAGCCACGTGTTTTCAAACCAAGGTTGTTTCCTCTAAGCGGTTTATCGCCGCGATTGAGCCAAGTCATGTCTGTTTTCTACGGTCTCCATAACGAGTAATGCGCATTACCCTAGAAGCCGAAAAGTTTTTCAAAGAGCCTTATGAATTTCGTAAAAGATTAGCATACGTTACACTTTTGGCATTAACATTAATTATAGTTTTTAGTTAGTTTCGTTTTGGTTTGTTAGGAAGAGGTCGTTCTTAACATCCGTTATGCTATCTTCTGCTCGAACTAGGTGGTCACTGTAGCAGTTACTATCGTGTTACATGTTTTACTTAAGGAGCGCTACCGGCAAGGAAAGCATACTAACTTAGCAAATGTAATTAGATAAGTACCCACTCCAAGGAGAGGAGACCTCTTGAGGAGCTGACAGAGAACTAAATATTTGGGATAATGAAAAAACTGTTCCCGACAATCCAGAGACGCAGAGTTAAACATTCGTTCAGGTCATAAGGAAGAACAGGATCGAGTCTAAGTCACGAGGCTAAGCCATGAAGGCAATATTTTAATTTCAAATTAATCTTATCAGAAAAAAGTAATTAGTTGGTAATCATTAGGGATATCATTTATTAAGTAACACCGACAATTGACTTATTATTTTTTGGATTTAAAATTTATGAAATAAACAATAGTTGTACCAAAAATTAATCCGAAACTTTATGAAGTGTTAGCAGATAAAGTAATGAACGAAAGATCAATATTATTTCCGGTACTTTTCAACTTGTTTGAAGATTATCTGAAGATATGTTTAATATTATGCTCGAACGTTCTGAATGGCCGAGACTTATGTACGGGCAACCTTGTATTTAAATAAGGCAACGTATAGAGAGTTTAATTTAATTTATTAAGATAGTGGGACATTAATTGACATTTAAATATTCAATGATCGTTAAACAGACGATAAAAAAAAACAAGTCCTAAAGCAATACCTTACTTAGAACGCCATTGTTAGTTCCTTCGTTCAGTTAAAAATAAATATTATTAATAATTTAATGACGCGAGTAAACAAATCAAAATTTTATTGATCATGAAAAAATTTTGTTGTTTGTTGTCATGTTAGTTTTATTTTATACTTATGTTTTAACGTATTATACCGGATTTTTTAAAATATTATATATATATATATA